TCCTTGGAGGGATGAGGGCAATGTACTAGGACTCTGGCAGCATTGCCCTAAAACTCAGGATTTCCACCTGAAAGCTTAAATTTTCTGTATTGGAAGAAAATCTTAGCCCTGTTGTGAGATCTGAAAAATTGAGACGGATAATTTTCTGTTAATGGGGAAATAAATGAATGAGGAAGGGTAACCTTGAGATGGAGGAAGAGGGAATAAATGAAAAGTGGAGCTGGGAGGTGAAAAGGGATTGAGGACACAAACTGTTAAAAGTAAACTGTAAACAGGTTTAATGGAGACAAACTCAGTTTGTCTGCCTGAGTTTGTCTCAGGCATTTCTCAGTTCTTCAAGTATCTACGAATGGTGGGGGAAGGGGGCGAGGATGGGGTTACCGTTAATCCTTTCTTGTCCTAGTGTTATGGAGTGCTGAGATTTTTTTAACTTTTAAGATTTTTAATGATACCAAACTCTTCCAAATTAGAAAAAAACATTAATTTTTAAAAAATGTTTTTTAAGTGAGCAATGATCTTACTAGCTGTCATCTGAAAATCGCTTGAGATTGGTAGTGACTTTTTTTAGAAGTAGCCACACACGAGAAGGCGTTCGGACGCTTCGAAAACCTCTTAGCTATCGCCGGATGCGCCAAAGTCAAGATCCTCCGCAGACAGGAAATGCCTTTGCCAGCCCCAAGGTCTCCTCCCTGCGGCCCTCTCTATTGTCTGGAGAGATTTGTGTACATCCGACTGAGGAGGTTTCCCGCCTGCAACTGCGAATCAAAGAGCTGCCTCAAAAGAACGGACTCAGTGGGGGCTTTCTAGCTCTCCTGGCTGACACCTGGCGCCCACTGTGTGCCAGGTACTGATGCCTCCGCTCAGGTGAGCCGCTTACCTCCCCGAGGAACTGAGGCTGCCAGTTCAGCCCAAGGCCCCCAGCCAGCAAGGGAGGTGGAGGGGATTCGACTGCCTTACTTCCATTCCTGCTCTTATCCGCTTGGGTAAGATTCCTGAAAAGGGTTGCCCACAGCTACGTCTGAAGGGGCAGACTACATCGGTTCTGTGGAGTTTAGATGTCAGATATTTTGGTCGGTGGGAGGAATCTCCAAAGTGTTTCTCATTTGGATTCAACAACAATATCAACAAAAAATGTGTCAAGGGATAAAAATCAGGTTAGAGAGATTCCAGCTGGAATTTCATGAAACCCAAAGAGATGAAAAGTAAATGTTAGTACAATATCTGGTTGTTTTTACTACAAGATACTGAGCTCCTAACTAATTAGAAGCATCCTGAGTGATTGTGTGGTTTTCCAAATTTTGTCCCATGTTGTCAGAATTCACATAAATATCACCTCTAGTCGCAGATTTAGAGGATCATTGATCATTAGATTAAGAAAAAAAAAATCAAAAAGGGTGAGTTTTTTAGTTCCTGCCGTCTTCTACAGGGTAGTATAACTGGAATGGGAATTTTGTTAAGTGTGTTCTGTCCCCAGCTAAATGCATTTCCCCCAAGTCTAGATACATTTTCTTAAATCTCTGCCCTGCCCCCATTAACTAAAATGAATATTCACAGCAATGAAACCACACACAAAAAAAGGTTGCCAGAAGTGTTGAAAGAGAATAGGTACTTTCACTATCAGAGATGGTTTCCTCTTTTCCCACAAGATGTCTTATCAGCTTTCACCCTGAGAAAACCATAAAAAGTAAGAAAAAGAAACCTTATGCAATAGTTCTCTAAATAAAATACTACACAGCAAGCTAGTCATCCCTAAAAGTGATGTTGTTTAAAGAGTCAAAGTACATCATCCAGCAAAATCAATATCCTATTAAGTTAGGAAGGGTTCTGAATATCAAAGACTGATGAACTGAATAACTTAAAGTATAAGTACATGACCCAGGGGATTAATCACACACTGTCATGATGAAATTAGGGCAATTCTTCCAATCATTAACGTTTTGCTTACAAAATGTGCTTTTCTGTTTGTCTTTCTGCTAAATGATAACCATTTTCAAGTTGAATCTCCTGATAAAAAGAGTTAAAAACAAGACAGGAGTTGTGCTGTAAAGGTCATACATGCTGCTTCAACATGAAATAGCCAAAAGACAAACAAATGAAAAATGCCTGGATTGTAGGAAGAATTTGTAAATATTCATTGGCAATCTGCAATGGGACACTTTAGAAAATAGTTAATGCCAACCTGTGTCCTGAGAATACTGTACTTCCTTCACGTAACACACTCTGGATTGTTAAAGACATGTTTAGATTCAGAATAGGAGCAACCTGAAGAGAACTGGGAATAGCTTTAAATTGGAAAACGGCCTGGTTTCAGGGATTGTCTACTTTAAAGTGAGAATTCCACTCCTCAAATTTTTCTAGTGTCAATCAATACATAAGCCTTTATTTCTCAGCTTGATAGTCACAATACAGTTATTCTCAAGAATAAATATTAACCAGAGGTTATCTCCAGGAGCGAAACACACACACACATACTGATTTCAGGACTGCTTTAATTCAATATTAGGCCCACAAGCCTCCTGGTCTCCCCAAACTCAGATACAGTCAGTCCTCTTTTCAAATGAGACTGACTATGACCTTTGAAACCTTGATGAAACCTGTCAGGCAGGGTCAGGGAGCCTGGAACCTGACTGCTGAGGAGAAAGGAGACCCTCTGGCTGGATATCTACTCTGAGCTCCAACACTGAGAACGGAGTTGGGAATTAGGAGGGTGGGGAAGGTCTGGTAGCGGTCCTGTAGGTCAACTAGACCATCTTCATTCAACAGATGAAGAAACCGAGGCCAAGAACTAAATCTCCCACTGAAATCCTTAACCTTCCAGGCCAAGGCACACCTGTCTGCTTCAGAACCCAGGACAAATGTTCTCAGAAATTAAAAATTCACAGGTAATTCCAGGGGCCTTCCTGCAATCTCAGGTGCACTGACTTTTTCACTCTCTTCACCTGAGTGCTCATGTCTGGGAGCTACAGCCCTGGTCAAGCCAGGCCAGGGGCAGTCACTCCTTCACAGGACCTCAGCCCAGAGGCATCCAAGTCCACAAAAACTAGAGACCTCCAAGGAGGATCAGGCTAGAGGAAGAGATTTCTGGCCTCTCCCCTCACGGTTCTCTGCTCATCATTTTCCTGGAATGTCAGGAACCTGGTGGCTCAGTTAGGCAAGCAGCTGAACTGGCAATACCTGGGCCAGTCAGAAACCTCTGCCCACCCTTCTTCTCAGCCCCATACCCACCCTCCGCTCAGCACTTCATTCCTCCCCAGCTCACAATACCTCTTCCTCAGCCCTGCTCCCTTCTCAACCATCGACCCATCTTCCGTTTCCCTGCTCCTCAAAGCTGCCGGTCTCCCGCTCCCTCAAGGGCAGGAACTGTCGGGAGGAGGGGAGCAGGAGAAAGGGCGAGGGGGGATCACGGGTTTCACCTGCTTCTTCCACACAAGAAGTGCCTTGGAACCCCTGACCAGCAGCTTGGACAGCACCTGGGTACTTTTAGAGGGCAAATTCCCTGACCCATCCCAGACCTACTCAAATCAGAAAGTCTGGGGATGGCGTGGGCAACGAGTCCCAACAAGGTCCGCGGGAGACTCTGAAGCTCACTGGAGTGAGAACCGTTGTCTTGGCACACACTACTTTTCCCCCATCGCGCCTCCCGGCCAGGGCCCCCCAGCCCTCTAAGCGGACCCCCGACCTGGACTCGGCCGCCAAGGGATGACGCACGTTTTGACTCAGGCGGGTCAAGGACGGCGGCCCCGCCGGCCCCGCGAGCCAAGGTGAATCGATGGTGCTCCGCTGCGGCGGCGGCGCAGCTTCTCTTCCCGCCGCCTGGAGCGTCCAGGGCTCGCGTCTGCAGCGGGCCTTCCCCGCTGCTCCAGACACACTCAACACACACTCACACTCAGCCCCCAGCGAACCCTAGATGTGGGAAAGGCCCACATCTACCATCCAGGTGCTCGCCACCGGTCACCGCCCAGAACTGCCTTCCTGAGACGCCAGAAGCCGAGACACACACCGCCAGACGCTCCAGACGCCCCTGCACCCGACCCCGCCCCAGCCCCAGCGCCCAGCCAAGCACCCCAGGCGCTGTAAGATAAGGGGTGGGTTTGTTCAAATCCAAGAATGAGAGGTTCAACAAGGTCAGTCGTCCTGCCAACATATTTATTTTACAGACAAGTTACTCACTTTTTTTTTTTAAAAAACACATTTTGGCCATTTTTTTTACAGTTAACAATTATATATACACAATTATAAACATTGTTTAATATAAAACATATCTACAATCTACTTACATTTAATTAACCTGCTACTTCTAGTTCATCTGTGATTAAATTTAGTCACTGATGAGTCAGTTTCTTTGCTTGAACTGGACTGTACTATCCCCTTAACACCTCAGTCAAACAGGTACTAAGTGATAGGGCAAAACAAGCATTTAAGGATTAGCAACTATGTATATCTTTCTGAAAAAAGATACATACATCCCCGAGACAAGAACTCAGAGATAGCTTTGGATTTAAGGCAATACTATAAGAATGTAATGTGTAAGTAACATTTTCTTTAAAATATTCTAAGGCTGCCTGAATTGTGGGCCCCCTTTCCAAGGCATACCTCTGGATCTGGGATGTTATCGTTTGCTTTTCCTTTCACTAGGATGTAGAAACCGATTATAGAAAAGTCATTCAAGAAGCTCCTATTAAAATCTTTAAAGTTATAACTTAAAAATTTAACCAAAAAGTTCAAAATTACTTTTTATAAATAGAAAAAACTTTTTTTTAAAAAGGGGGTGAATTTAATCAGGGACGAGTCCCTTTATCATTCAATCTAAAATCAGTATACAAACTAAGTCAAAATTAAGGTTTCCATGTGAGTTTGTTATTTAGTCAGTGCACCAAATATTTTAGAGATTTCCAGAATACCAGAAAATTGATTCTCTCTCTCATATAGTTTTCAGGTTCATCCAAGGAGATTTCCTGTAGCAAATCCCAGTTTTCCGAACACACCAATGTCAGTGGTCATCATCCAGCATTAAAAAAGCCTTTATCGCCCTCAATGTCTACTTCCTGATCAGAATCCTCTGAAATCTCTGATTCAAGGTCTTCCTGGGAGACAGGGGAGGGTGAACACTGAGAGCTATCCAAAGCACCTTTATTCTGTTCACTAGGCAAGTCTTGCCTCTGGTCGCAAGAATTGTCCAAACTTTCCAGTTCTTCTTTTTTATTGTTTTGAGGGTTCTCCTAAAAAGAGGATGAAATGGAGATTGGTGGGATGATGAAATATGGAGAAATGAGAGATATAAATCAAATATCTTTTCATCTTCCATCATCTTTTTTAATTTTTAGTTTATCAAGTGCTTTCAGGTATAATATTTTTATTCAGAAAATACATAGTTATGCTTATTTCTCACTTGGAAGGTAAAGTTCCTGTCATATCAGAGAACAATTATACTCTTCTTGCCAGATAAGAACAACTAACCACAAATATAACTGTAAATGTACTATGTCAAATGAATACTTAACTCCAGCCCAGACCTATGGTATCAAGGTTCTTAAAAGTTTAGGAAGAAAAAGAAATCAGATAACTACAGATACACACCATCTTTATTCTTCAAATATTTAAACCTTACCAATTAACAAAAGTCTTTTAGACATTTAAAAAATATGAATGCTAAATAATGCATTAAGGATAAAGTCTCAAAATTATTAGACTGAATTGTTTTTTATGCATTTTCTGGACTAAGTTTACAAACATATACACACATAAATATGTATAGCAAGTTACATAATCATGGCTAAGAAAAATGCAGAATTGGAAGAATGTTGCCAATTGAAAAGGGAGACAACTATAATGCACTTAAAATCTGGAGGAAATTTCTTGAAAATATTCCCTTATTACATAGAAATCACTATTTTTAAAGTCCCTGATAAACTACCTCTGACCAAGAGCTAAGTAAGTTAGTAAATTTTTAATCCTGTTTTTGTCTAAAATGCACATAAATACTAAGGAAAACTATGATATACTGCTGAAGTTTTTTTTTTCCTAAAGCAAGACTACAGAATAATAGATTTACCAAGCTTACAACTATGTGATAAGTTACAAGGCTCAGATATTGAGAGGAAACTCGAAATTTTTAAAATTGTGTTAGAATAATGAAATTATAGGAATTTTATTTTGTTTTAAAGTGTTTTTTATAACATTGTTTTTAATGGGAAAGTTATGACTGCTAAATTTAAAAATGCATACTGCTTTCAATTTCCCTATCCATTTAAAAAAATTTTGTTATAAACTATATAAACTACTAAGTGAAAAATTCAGCATTTGTCAGGTAACTTTGGAGAAAATATCAGGTTAGGACATCAAAAACAAATCTTTAGCTCTAAGTCAACAGAGCTTCTTTAAAAACTGAATTAGCCTTTACTTTTTATCACATATTACGTAACAAGGTCACTGGAAGAAAGATTGTGAGAAAGTTTATGCTACTTTCCAAACAGGCTTGGATAGTGCTGTTTTTATATTCATTTTAAGAGCTAGAATTAGAGGGAAAATAATTTTTAAACTCTTTGATATTTAATTCTTCTAAAAAACAGTGCAAACAAGACTTAAAGGTGTTTATTTCCTTATATTTACCCTTGAGCTCTGCCTGGTTTTATTATGGCTGTGTAAATAAAAGAAACAATTTTCTCCCAAAGATAACTGCTTAAGTCATTTACTGTCAATTACTTTATCTTTCCTGCGTTAATTAGATAAACAACATATGGGGTTTATAAAACAATTAGCTGGGAGTTTTACTAGCCAGTGTGTGAAAACCCAAGCATAATTGATATAGGAACTGCATTAGGTGCTTTTAGCATTACTGCCGCCTGAACAACTCATCCTGAATTTCAGCAGGACTATTTGCCTTTTTAATCAAGGTGAAGAGGTTAAATAGTCCCTCAAATGACTTTTGCATACAACCTACAACAGGCCCCGCATTGAGATAACATGGTAAAAATATTTATTTCCATAGAAACAGAACCATGTCAATACCTGTTTTAGTCTTCTCCATTTAGCCCGTCGATTCTGAAACCAGGTTTTGACCTACAGAAAAGACAGAAAGAAAACTTGCCACAAGTCCAGAATCCCGAGGGACCTGGGGAGGGAGAAGTTCAGGAGCTTCCGAGCCAAACAGCTGCCGGCGGCCTCACTGTCTCCCTTCTGCCCCGAGACCCCGGCCCGCGGCCCGCGAGGCGACTCACCTGCCTCTCGCTAAGCTGCAGCATCTTGGCCAGCCGCTTCCTCTCGGGCGGGGAGAGGTATTTCTGGGTCTCAAACTTCTTCTCCAGCTCGATGGTCTGGTCGTTGGAGAACCTCACCTGGCCGCCTTTCCTTTTATGCAGAGGCCTCTGCAGGAAAGGGCTCCAGAGCAGGGGTTTGCCTGCGGGCCAGAGCGTCTGGGTTAGAGGCGGCCCCGAAGCAGCCCGGCCCACCCGCAGCCCGGCCCGCACTGGGGGTGACAAAGAAGGGGAACGGAGGCTTCTGACCATTCAATCAGACACATTCACATACACCCGTTGAGACGCGGACCCAACAGGCTCCCACCAATACACATCACACCCGAGACCCAGGAACATCCAAAGTCACACACCTACACTGCATATGCACGAAGATCACGTTCATATGCCCACACACCCATCACACCCAGAGCTAGATACAATCATTTTGATCCCCCAAAGAACATCGACTACCGGCTGAGCTTAAAATACCATAACCTCTTTAACCAGTCGCTCTCAGAATGTATACACAACTAACTTTTTTAGCCTAGAGGACCTGCAGAGGGGTCCTCTCCCTTGGTGAACCACACTTTCCAAAGACCCGTGTGCGCGTTACGTTGGGGGGAGAGGGTCTGTCACACTAGCCAAAGCGTCGCTGCCAGGGGCCGGCGGTCTCGCCACCAGGGAAGCCCTCTGGCTCAGGCGGTGGATGTCAGTGGAGCTTCCAATCCTGGCCGGAGGGCGCAGGGCCCCCTCTGATTTCACACCCGGCCGGCGGGGGCGGCCAGTTAAAGCCACCCCGTGGGCTATGGCAACATTTCCGCCAATGTGTTTCCTGTTGGTCTATCTCGAAAAACCCTTTGCTTCCTCCTGCGTAGTCCCGAGGAAACCCAGGGCGCGCTGTGTGAAAACGTTTGCCCCCAGGCTCGCCCGGCAGAGGGTCTCCCTCCGGCCCCAGCAGGCGACCAGAGCCACAACGGGCCTGCAGCATCAGACCTTCGAGGATGGAATAAAAAACACAGTAACTTAAAAAAAAAAAAACACACACACACACACTAAAATATAATTCCCCCGAAAGTCTCTAGAGCGATGAGAAGGGAAGGTGGAGAACTGAACGAGGGGCCACACCATAATACTGATTACACTAAAAAGTCAATTAATTAAAATGTCAGTTATCTCCAGGGTGCCTACATAAGCTGCCAATAACACAGAGTAGACTTAAAAGCCTGGTGGGCCAAGGCAAGGAGTCGCGTTTTCTGTACCGGAGGCTTCAGAAGCCTGGAGGCCCCAAGGGCCACGAGGCGCGGATCACAGGTGGCTCATTTCTTAGGCCGCGCACTGAGGGGACACGTCCTGCAAACTTGGTTCGGCTAACGTGTCCGCGCTGCCCTCCCTACTCCAAAGACGGGTGGGTCAGTCAGTCCGTCTGTCCGTCGGTCTGCAGGTCTGCGCTAAACGCTTTGAAAGCGGGCAATGGTTTTTTTTTTTTTGCGAGATTTTGCTTACGTCAGGATTCAGACTGGTGCAAAACAGCCTCAAAAAAAAAAAAAAAAAGGAAGCAACTGGTTATTTTAGCTGCCATAAAGTCACATCCCACACAGAGGAAATGAACAATATCAGAAAAACGGATCCCGGCTATCAGAAGTCGAGTGTTTCCTGAATTTGTCTGTATTGAGGATGTCGATAAAATAATCAGCAGCGTGCACTACTCCGGGGGAAGGGTCTGCTTCATGCAGCCAGGAAAACACTTAACAGCTTCTGAAACCAGATTTACTCCTATCGAGAACTCAAGATTTCCTGTATGAACGGAAAGGGTCAGGCTCTTTCACTGCACAAGCCTGCTGTGCCAGGTTCAGTCCCGTAACCACCCGGAGCCCGACAGCTACCCCTGCCCCTCAGGGGCGGCCCGAGGCACTTTGGCACTGCCTTCCCGGTCCCTCCAGCTAAGGGAGCCTCTCAACCCCCGGGAGACAAGCGCCCCCAAGGCTCCTTCGGCCGCCGGCCCCCGCGGCAGCGCCGGCGGTGTGGCCCTGGCCCGCGCGCCCCGACGCCTGCAAGGTGCAGGAAAACTAATCTGAGTCATGGTGCGGTCAGTCTGGGCTGCGCGCCGCCGGGGCGCGCGCCTCCGGTCCCCCGCGCGCGCCCGGCAGCCGCTTTTCAATCGCTTTTGCCTCAACTTTCTATTGCCTCCCCCTCCGCCCCCGCCGCCTCCAGGGCGCTGCCACCTGCCGGGTGGCGCCTTCCTCACCGCCGTCCCGGCTCGGCCCCGCCATGACCCCGGCCGCCTTACCCAGGGGGTCGTGGCGGAGCAGGGCGTGCGTGTAGTCGTTCACCGATCGCGGGAAGGGGTACAGAGGGCCCCCGAAGCCGCCGGGTCCGTAGGCGGCGGCCAGCGCGGCGGCGGAGTGGTGCGAGAAGGCGGGGTGGATCGGCGTGGGCTCGTACACCGGGGCCCGGTAGGAGGACACGAGGCTGGTGAAGGAGGAGTTGGGGGACGGCAGCGTGGGCGTGGGGGTGGGCGCGGCGGGCCCGCGACCCAGGATGTCCTCGATGTAGAACGGCGTCGGGTGCGCTGGCTGCAGCAGCGGCGTGGGCGCGTACAGCGGCACCCCTACGGCGCCCGCCGCCGTCGCCGGCCCGGGGTGCGGGTACTGCATGGCTGCGCCGCGCTCCGGCCCCTCGGAGAGCTGCCGGCCCGCGCCGCGGCGCTACATTTATCCGCGCTCCGCGCTCCCGGCGATAGGCTCCGCCGGCCGCGGGGTGGGGCCGCGCTCTCTGGCCCCTTCCTGCCGCCGGGCCCTGCGGCCAATGGCGCGGAGCCCCGGGAGCCGCCTCCCGCCCCCACCCTTGGCCCGCCCCCACCGGCCGAGCTCTCCGCCCCCGGGACGCGCTCGCTTGCTCGCCGCCTCTGCGCACCCGGCGCCCCGGTGTCCAGCCGCCGCAGACGCTCGGGGCTCCACGCACCCTGGCCCGGGACGCCCTCGTCGGAAGCCCAGGGCCGCGTCCGTCGAGCGAGGCGCGAGGCCAACAGCTGCCTGCAAGGCGGACTCAAGCGGCCCTAGCTTCGGCAGGGAGGCATCTCCGCCGAAACTCGAGGGCACTGGCCTAGGCACGGGCCCGCGGTGGCCGCCGCCGGCCCGAGCAAGGGGCTGCTGGACTCGGGCCCAGCAGGCGTGAGGCCACTGGCCCGGGCCGCGCCTTCGCCGACCTGAGAGCACCCTCCCTTGGCGGCGCACTCCCTGGAGTAATGGTAGCACTGGCTGTGGCCCCGGGCGTCTTCGGAGTGCTCAGAGCGGGAGAGTGCCCTGGGTTCCTGGGGGACCGCCAGAGAGAGAGAGAGCGAGCCACGGCCCTTGCCTGCGTCCCTGTGGGTAAGGACGAGTAGACATCAGGTGCTCCGGACTCCGCCCTCTCTAGCCCGTGTCATTCGGGGGCCCCGGGGACTCAACAACTTCCCCGGGACGCTGGTAGAAGTACCTTCGGGTAGGAATCAAGGGAAGGCCGGGGTCTTACGGCGCCTGGCAGGAGCTGTGCAGTCTTCTCTGACCCCGTGCGAGCTGCTCCATGTCCCCTGTCCCCGGGTCCTGGGGGGTCGCAGCTGCGCGCAGTCCCGCTTTCCCGTTTTGCACGTGTTTTCTATTGAGGCGGCGACGCTACCCGGTGTGGCCTCGGCTCTGTGCAGCTCCACTCGCCTGCGGGGCAAGGGGGCATTTTCTTGATTGACGCCCACCCGTGGTTGTCACACCTCGCGGTGAGCGGTTTCTGCTAAGGTCCTCTGTCAGTCGTGGAATTGGGGGAAAAAAAAAACCAACTTCCCGGCTTTTTCTATTAAGAGTTTTTATTTACATCTTGGGATTATTTCTCCAACTGCAGCGGGACAGCACTAGGCAGAGTGGGCTGGAAGCCGGATGGCTTGAGTTCGAGTTTCAGTCCAGACTTTGTGAGCAACTACTGTGTGCCAGAAGTGAACAGCACAGATGTGGTTCCAGTCCTCGCAGTGGCAGGAAACAAATTTTAACACTGTGACTTACGTCTGCGCTAGGAGGGAGAAGTGGAGAAGTGGGCGATGACCCGAAAGCTTGTAAGAGAGGACATCTCCTTCTTGGGGGAGGGAGATGAATTACGGAAGGGAAAGGGTTCGCCAAGGAAGTGATGTTTGAAAAATGAGTAGGTGTCAAGGAACCTGGAGAGGAGCTAACATTTCAAGTCCAGAGAATATATCATTTGAGTGTCCTCAGTACAGCTTTTCAAGTCACCGTCCCTGAGTTTTTCTTATCTGAAACATTTAGCATATAGCCTAAAGGTTTCTAATCTTTTGGGATTGGGATCCTAGGCATCTTTCAAAATCTGATGACAGACAGGAGCTACAAGATGATAAAGTGATAATACAAAGTGATAATATGCTATCATTTCAGTTAAAACGTTGACAGAAGGTAAGATTATTTATCTGCACCTTTGCTCTATTATGGAAACTATCTCTAGAAGGATACACAAAAACCTAGTAACACTGGCTGTCTATGAAGAGAAAGGTAGGGTTGGAGGGAGAATGTATTGTATGCTTTGTGACAGTTTGGAATTGGAGAATTGAACCGTGTAGATGTATATAAGTAGGTCCTTGAAGGAGTGGCTGATTCTAGGTTGGGGCAGGAAAATACAAGGTGAGCTCCAGGCATCTTGTACCAAAAACCACAGAAAGAAAACAGGAACCAGCTTGAAGGATTTTCCATTGGCCAAACTTGGGGTCATTTAAGCATCAAAACTATGGATTAAGTTTATAGTATCACTGCCTATAGAGATACTCAAGGAGAGACAGAAAGGGATGGTAGATGGTAAAACTGGAAGAATGCTAGCTAACAAGTGATAAAAATCAGAAAATGTAATAATTCGTTCAACAATCACTGGACACCAAAACCATCAAGGGAAACATTGTTAAGGATGAGGATTTTCACAAGGTCTCATAGTGTCACCCCAGATTGATTGGATTCTGGATTTTTTTAAGCTCTAAAAGACATTTAGGAGGATAATGGGCAAAAACTGAATAAGAATTGTATGTTAGATGACATCATTAGTGTTCACTGTTTTAGATGGGGTATTGGTATTGCAGGTGAAATATCCTTATTCTGGGAGGTACAAGCTAAGGTACTGGGGTGTGAAGAGTCATGAAACCTACAAGTTACTTTCAAATTGATACACAAACATATACATATATGTATATGTAAAGATAGAGATAAACCAAATTGAAAAATTATCCATTTGTGAATTTAAGTGAAGAGCACACAGATGTTCATTGTACTAGTTTCAGCTTCCCTGTAAGTTTGACCTTTTTGAATATAAAAACTTTTAAAAAGTATGAATTTATGTTTAAAAATGAAAACACTCTCAAGTCTTTTTAAAAGGTAAAATCATTTGAATTATTTGTTAAATCTGCATACAAGTTTAGGTAGTGCATCCTCCTGGAAACCATCTGTGGCCAGCCATTTGCAAATCTTTGGTCTCTCTGGGGTCTGGTTTGATGTTGTATGCCCCACCCCACCCCACCCCACCCCCAAGTCATAATTCTCCTCACTAGGTGATGGGGAATTCAGGCAGGTGCTGGGAGACTGTGGTATGTTCTTCTGTACCAAGGACAGAGATGGGATTTGAGGACAAAAAAAGAACAATGGTTATGTTAAAGGACTTCAGAAGTTATATTTGAGCCTTCAAAGATTGGGACCTCAGGAAACTAACCAGGTGACTGTGATTGTTATTTTGTCACAAAAATTTCCTCCCTCATCTTTGTTTTGCTCCTTTTTCCTGCCCCTTCTACCTAGCACATAATTGAGATTATTACTGCAATTCATTTAATGCCCTTACAGTAAATCACTAGTGAGCCTTCATTCTCCATCTTCATAAATAGTATGAGTTTATAGTTTATTCTGTACATGACTCAGCCACAAGCCAAAAAGATCTAAGTCTACAAGCATTCCAAAAATAAATATTAAAATACTAGAGAAATAATCACTAATATAGAAAAAGGAAGCATCATTCCTTTCTTTGATTTAACCACAGATCCTGTGAGGTGATGGAAGATCTTATAAGGCATTGGTATAACATTCCAACTCAGCTACATAATCCTAACCAGCAAATTGAAGCACTTAATTCTGTTAAGCTATATAACACCACCTCTTCTAAATCCAGTCGTCAGATCCATGTTCATTTCACTGTAGTTAAAAAAAAATTACAACCACATTTGTGAATGTCACATTCATTGAACTACATAATTTTTAATATCACTTGTGTAAGTTTTATAGTTTGTTTTATTGTTTTAAAAGTCATTTGGGGCTCTAAAAGAACTAGATTTTTCCAAAGTTGTCCTTATAATTTTCTTTCTCCCAGTCAGAACCAATAAAACAAAACTGTTGTAGCTATTTAATTCAAAATCTCTTGGAGTTTCAATATTTTTTCTCTGCTGGATACTAAAACCAATAAAGCTACATGAGATTTTAATTATATTCTGAATTTAAAAAGACTCTTTAAAAATTTGGCACCATTTATTTTAGCCACTACTATTGTGTGAGATACCAAACTTTGTAAGAAGAGAAGGTGGTTCTTACCTCTAGTTTATCTAGGAACAGCTTTAGTAAAATTTTTGCAACTTATTTTCAATAACTAAATGTACATAGAAGTAAAACTTCAAAGTAACTATACCTTGAGAGCATGAATGGATTTTGTATAACAATGTAATCCTGTTTTTGCTTATACTAAAAGTTTTATTATCTTCAGCCATTGGAATGACTAAATCATTTAGTAAATCACATATTGAATCGTTGTATTATATTTTATTTAAAATTTGACAATATCTAATTAGTGTTTTAGGGTTTTACTGACTTACAAGATGCAACTATGACCAAAAGAAATATTTTGTCCTTGTCATGAATAGGATCAGCGCTCTGGAATACACAGGCAACAGTCATCACGACATTGCTTCAGCGGTGGTCACATTTCACATACTATCATGTACTTTACATAACACCATAATGTGGATAAATTTTACCAACCATTGAGCTTTGGGTGAAGTTTATGATATTTATTTGCTCAGTTTAAAAAATGATGAAGAATTCAATAACAAAAAGACAGAACACTATTTTTTAAATGGGCAAAAGATCTGAATAAACGTTTCTCCAAAGAAGATACACAAATGGTCAATAAGCACGTGAAAAAATGTTCGATATCATTGATCATCAGGGAAATGCAAATGAAAACCACAATTAGATACCACTTTATACACGGTAAGATAGCTATAGTAATTTCTTTAAAAAAAAAAAGGATGTTGGTAAGAATGTATAGATTTAGAATCCTATACATTGCTGGTGGCTGTGTGAAATGAAGCCGCAGCTGTGGAAAACAATCTGGGAGTTCCTGAAAAGGTTAAACAGAGTTACTCTATCACCCAGTAATTCTACTCCTAGGTATACACCCAAGAAATGAAAATGTTTGTCCATACAAAAACTTCTACACAAATGTTCACAGTAGAAATATTCATGACAGCCAAAAAGTGGAAACAGTGCAGATGTCCACGTACTGATGGATGAATAAATGTACGTCAAGCAATGGAATATTATTTGGTAATAAAAGGGAATGACATACTGATGCAGCTACAACATGGATAAACTTAAAA